AATTTATTATTATAATAAATAATTATCGCATACTTAACGTAACGAGATTTCAAATCCAACTATATAGTCAATAACATAAACAATATCATAATCTCATACGCAATCAGTCAGCAATAACAACTTTTTCTTTTATTAGTCTATTGGTATCCATGGGGGTCCACAGAGATGTTACCACTACGCGTGAACCTTTTTTTTTTAAATATTTTCAATTAACGGTCCGTCCCCATAACCCATCTAATATGAGCACAAAAAATACCATATCTAAATACCTTGTCCAACATGAGGGTGAAACAAGTCATTCCTATACCTTGTCTGGTATGAGCACCAAAATACTAATCATTGATACTCCGTCCGGTATGAGACAACGTTCATGATAGGGTTCCTTATGTATCCACTCTGTCTACCATCTCCCAAAATATCCAGTAAGACTACCGTTCATTCATTTACTTAATCAAATAATTTTTTCGTTTACATTTCATTTTCAGTTTTCCGATTTAACTGTAATTACATAAAACAACTAATACATGTATCAAGGAAGCACAATCGCATCGTCATATCAATTCTAGTGTATTATCATGTATTCGAAACTGTAAAATCAACCAATCAGCTGAACACGACAAACAGTAATAAATAACCAGTTCCGACTCCATTAGTGACCTGTAATTAATTATGGATATTTTATAAACTACACAAAATATCGCATTATTATTAATTAAACTTCAATTCCATAACAGAGAATAAGATGATGAATTCTTACCCGAATTGGTATCTGAATGCTAAACTCTTGGCTGCGCCTATTGGCAGTCCCAAAGTTCCCTGAATTTTTATTCGGAGATTAAAATACGCTCCAAATACCTATAAATACCCTAAAAAGCCCATAATCAGTGTTAAAAACCCTTTTTGGCTAATTCCAGAATTTCAGCATGGCAGGCGACGACGGTGGTTTGCCTCGAGTTAGCCATTTTTAGCCGATTTTCAGTCGATTTTGTATCCATCATTGCGAGAAAATACGTTAAGGGACCTCGATTGAGCGAAAAAAGTCAAAAAATCAAAGCTTATTGGCGGTGGAGTTTTCCGATGTGGCAGCTTCGCCGACTCACCTTCGTAGTTGGATGTTTTGCTTCGGTCAACCTATAGATAAAGGAATGATGATTACAATTGTGAAAAAATTACACAAAACGGGAATCGGAAAGGGCCTCATCGGTGGTGTTTTTTATTTTTTTTCGCAGTGGCACCATTGGGCTTTGCCCACGATTTTCGACTCATCCGCCAGTCCTTTTACTCCGATTTGGTCATGGGGGTATTTAAAATTGAATTTCGAGCGAATGTGAAAAATTTTACTCTTTTGCCGATTGGAGGTGGCTCCAGCGTGGCGGCAGTTGGCAGTCAACTTCCTTCCCGGCGACTGGCTCTTTTTCTCTAGTGAAGGGTCAGACGGTTAGGGTTAGGGTTTGGTGTGAAAAAGGTTATTTATATCCGTTTTCTTTTAATCTGAACCGTCCATCGCGTTTGATCTGAACTGTTCGATCGCTTTTAAATAGAAAGTAAATCTAGATCGTTCATTGCGATTTAATCTGGATCGTCCGATCGTGTTTAAATAGGAAGTGAATCTGAATCGTTCATCGTGATTTGATCTGGATCGTCCGATCGCGTTTTAAAGAAAGGAACGGATCCGACTGTCTGTGCGCGAGAACAAATCCGGATCGTCCGATCGCAAGCACGCGGATCACCAAAGTGGCTTCCTGCATGGCACCGTATCAGCGTGCCTTGCCACACGGCACTCTCCGGTTTGTTGGGACTGATGACTGGACGTCCTACGTGGTATAATTTTTTTAAATTGCATTTTGACCCATAATCTTTGATTTTTTTTTCAAAAATATTTTTATAATCCAAATTTTCAATGTTTTTTTAAAAAATTATTTTCAATTTCATTCTTCACATTTTTTTTCATTTTTACATTAAATAATAAATTAAAAAGTTATATTTATATATTAATTTTAATATAATTAAAATTAATTAAGGGTATTACAACCATGTTGCTCTTTAAGAAGTGCGAGAGAAATTCAATTGACAATTTCATTATAATATAGTGACACAAACAACACTAATATTTATTAATTAATTTTCTATAATTTTTTAAAAGAAACCTTATTTAAGAAAACTTCTAATATTCTTTTTGACAATAATTTTAAATTTAAAAAATATTATAATATATTTAATTAAATGGAGGATAAACAATTTATCTTTAACTAAACACTTTTACCATATATGCTTGGGGTGTCACTAAACTTGAACCACTGAGAAGGACAAAAAGCCCACTGAAAATAATCCCCTAAAAAATAAATTCTAAACAAGGGTTATCAGCGAACCAGGAACCCATTTTCCCATCCTCATTTTGCCAGCGTCAGTAAAAACAAGGGTTATCAGTGAACCGCCGAACACCGCTTCTGTTTCTCTCCTTCTTATTTGGCCGAACCGAAGATCCGTCACGAGCTGTCGTCCATAGCTGCACACACTGTCCTTTATTTGGCAACTGCACGTCGGTGAGAACTTTTATCGTTTTGATTCGATTTTGAATATTTTTCGTTCGGTAAATTCGGCTTCTCTTGCTTCGTATTCGCACAAACTTTTGATGGAATTCGATTTTTGTTCTTCTAAACTGTTTATTTGGATCTGTATGGTTGATTTGTGATTTAGTGTATAATGTTGTGGGTATTTCGATTTATTCAGCTCCTACATTTCGACGGAATTTTTCTTTCTCTTTTTTTCATGCTCCTTGGAATATAAATGGATTTTCATTCTCCTCAACTCTATATCTGATATGTATTATTGATTTATTATCCGTATCGCAACTTATTTTTTTAATGGTTTTGGCTTCGATTTCGTCAGGTTTTCTGTATCCGTGGAGTTTAGTTCATATTTTTATATGATGTTATGTCTCTATCCATGTTTGTTTTCGTGATTAATATTTATCTCTGTGCTTGTCCTTGTTGTAAAAATGGAAGACATTTCGATAAACATGTTATGGATTAAGCTTGGTGTAACCTTGATTTGTTTTGAGTATTATTTTCAGGTAGATTTATTTTATTTGGGGGAAAATTGTTTGTGGTGACTGTTAAATGCGTGGACCAAATTGCTTGTTTAAATGAAGTCATTGACGTATTAGATTTGTGCTACATGAAATCTGCAGTTCCATATTTACTGTTGTTTAATGTTCCAATTAGCTTGTTTAATGAATCTGGGTTTAAGAATTAAATTTCATGCATATCCAACATATGATTTGGTTTGCTTTGTGTACTGTGAGTTCATGAATAGATCTCCCTTTCATTTTTAAATTATATTTGGTTGTGGATGATTGTGACTATACACCAATTATATTTATTCTACTTAAGTTTATGTGTGTATTCTGCCTTGTGCTACTAGCATTCTTGGTCTTTTTAGTTATGGTTTCTTAGTTATGTGTTGATATGCCATTGATTTTGCCTATATTATTTTAGTTTTGAATTTTTTTACTTTATTTGAGTTTTTAACTGTAGGAATTCATTTTTTTGATAATATATATTACTTTTTGAGTTAGTGATTTATTCTGTTTTTGGGTTTTATTACTGATTATTGCATTGGATATCCACTTGTTTGAATGAAATCTCTGTTGATGAATGATGATAGAAATGTGCTGTATGTGGCTGCATGTAAGTCTATTGTTTAATCT